CTCCCATGCGCACTCTATTGCTCCGTTTTGGCGGGTCGATCAGGGCCCTGATTGGTTCGAGACTGGCCAATCAGGGTGGTGAAAAGCGCACAAGCAAATTTATTATCGCATGCAGAGCGCACAAGCCACTGTTCAGAAGGATGTCCGCATCGTGTCCGGATCGTTGTCTGTTCGGCAGACCGCGCGTCGAGGACGCGGCACTGAGCAAACGGATAGCGTCTGAAATGGAGGAGGCTTGTCGCAAGACAATGTTCAGTTTTCGAAGACGTTTCCATTTTGATCTCGAGGAAATGCGGCCGACGAAGGTTGCGGACGCAGGAACGCCAGCCGCTCTGAATGAACTCCAGTGGAACTGGGAGGTGCTTGAGGTTAGCAGTCCCTCGAAGTCACCCATTCCGGCCTTCTACACGTCGCGAGGTAGAAGTATTACAGTAAAGCGAATGCAACCCAGCGGTCTCAGCCAGTGTAGAGAAGCCCCATCCAGGACTGAGGCGAATGACACCAGAGAGAATTCAGCTAAACCACGGATCACACAGACCAAGATTACGGACACGTGGCAAGTTCGGATTCGTCGGAGCTCTGGTATCCGGGAGGGCGATAGAGAAGCTCCCTGTAAACCACTGTCGGAGACGAAGTCGCAGGATGTGCGCGTAAGGGCCAAGGAAGGTTGTGGCTCTCCTGGCCTTGGGTCCAAGCTCCTCTGCAGAACCGTATAGCTTCCGACTCTGGACGAAAGCTGGTGAGTTCCTCTGTAGTCTGCGTGTTTGCACTTCTTGGTGTGTTTACAGTATTAAATAATTCAAACAGTGGCAGACACCTGCACTCCATTGGAAGACGAAGATGCGATCACTGGAACAAGAAATTTATTGACCTGACGTTTCGGATTCTCACTCGAATCCATTAGCAGAGACATTCTGTAGTTACAGAACTGTTCCCCAAAGTCACTGTAGGCGAAGGATGCAAACTGTTCACACCAACCGTGGTTATTATCGTTCCTTGTCCTTCAAACGTACAGTTGACGTTGACCGAAATACTAAGATGTGTCTTAGACCTGAAAAGATTACTTAAGAAGGGTTTTTATATTAATTATCATGCAGCAATATCCTAGGATATTTCAGTCACACCAGATAACGGCCTCTGAATGAGCTTATTTTCGGCGATCTGGAAAAACTACGCTTTGTACGATTATTTTCGAATTGATATTAAATACCCTTTCTTTGAGATAGAATTATGAGAAGACGTAATTTGTTACCGAATGATTATAAGAGAGAATATTTTCAGGCCTGCTTTCTGTAAAGTACGACTGAATTTACAGAGCCATTGACTATCAATAGAAAGGATGTATGATATTCAAGTAGCCACTTTTCACAGTGCATGGGTTTTGCAGACGACCGTGAAAAAGCTCATTCAAAGGCCAACATCTTGGTGCAACCGAATTATCTTGTGGCTATGCTGCAAGATGATTGCTATTACAATCCGACCTAAGTAATCTTCTCGAATCGAAAACATATTTTAGAATTTCGGTTAACATTTCATGAGATAGCGCGTCTACTGTATGAGGAAGATATCTGTAGGCAAGGCCAAACATTCAGACCAATAGAATGGCAAGAGGCCTCAATGAAATTAAGGCCTTGCGCACTCAAATATTCGTTTCTATATTATTTTTGAGGATACTGCTTATGTAATTCTACCGATTTATAATCGGAAGTGTTTTTGCGCCGAGGAATAGACCATGGAAACCAAGAGGAAAGCTTTAAATTACGTACAGTTGATCGCACAGCACCCGGCTTATAATATTCGTGTAGAATGCAGTTTATAAGCATCCAGCTGAAGGACCTAGGTTTCTGCGGGGACCAATGACCGTTAAAGGTAAGGGAGACGGGGCCTTCTATTGTTAAAGGATAACGAAATTGAAGAGTTATAAATGTTATAGCTTTTGCCATGGATATTTCTCCAGAACTCCCTGTAATCTGTAGGATTACTTCAAGTTTGACTATGTTGGCAGGTATGCACTGTGTTCAAGACGTTGGTCAACTGATTTCATTTTGGTCGCAAACACAGAAATGCCTTTCTACTTTGTGGAGATTTAGTCCGGTCACAACTCGGGCCGCGAATATCATGCTTGCCCTACTGGCAGTCTTGGCAAATTTGAATGGACAAATTGACACACAGAGACCTTGGCTTAATGTTATGCTAGTACACTAGTCCTGAGGGGTTTGAAATTCAGCAAAGGACCCACGAACTTGAAATATTACTTCCTCTGCTGAGCAAATTTCCACGGCAGCTGTGGTTTTTGTCGAAATTCTGAAAAGCATATTCGATTAGGAAGTATTACTTAAGTGGGATTGTAGTATTGATTTACCTTGCGGCATAATCCCGTAATATTCCGGATATGCCAGAACGTTGGCTTTCAAATGCATTTTTCTGACTGCCTGTAATAACCACAGTCAGCAAACGATGACTAGTCAAGCAGTATGCATTGTGTCTGTTTATTTCCGGTGCCCTCATAAATTAAAATGTATTGTGTAGAAAACATGCTCGAAATTACTCTTTCGTTTAGGCATTTGGTAGCAATTCACATTTTCACCAAATTTCATACCACTCGAAGAAAAGGTGCTTTTCAGTTCTAAAAAGTGTCTAACTACGATATTTTCTTAATAGCATAGAGGAGCGTACGTCTTTCCTTACGTAGAAAGTATGCAAGTTGTTGACTGAAAAACCTTAAATGCTACGGGTGATCGAGCCCAAAATTATTTTAGAATTGTACTTCTTAAAATCGAAAGATACCCTTTCTTCAAGTAAAAATATTTCAGGAAGACGTGACTTGCCACCAAGTGCGCATAAGAAAGAATTTTTTGCGTACGTTTTCTAAAAATGTATTTGAATTTACAAGGAAATCGAACATCAGTGGGAAAATGCATACTGCTTGAGTAGTCGTCGCTTGCTGACTGCGGTAATTACAGGCGGTCGAAAATAAATGCATCTGAAGGCTAAAATCCTGGTCCGTCTGAAATATCACGGGATAATGACGCAAGATAAACAATATTACAGCCCCATTTAAACAATCCTCCCTAATTAAATACTCATTTCACGGTTTCGGTTAACATTCCACGAGATCCGCCATTAACTACACAAGAGGCCCACTTTTTGGGCTTTAAGGAAGGAAATATACGACGTACAAATTAAAAAATCGCCTGCGTCGATGCCAGAATTTTCATCCTTGTTGTTTTCGGCCGGAAAATCGATATCAGTCAAAATGTGTGCAGCCATTCTGAGATAATCGATCGATGCGAGCGAGGCAGGGAGTTCGCTGGCAAAGTTCAAAAACCGGCGACTTTAAGGGAGGGTCCCTAAAAGCCGCAACCTGCGTCGCTCAGATGACAATGCGGCGTAATCATATTTTTCTTGCTTGCAAAATCGCTGCCGCTAAACTGATCAGCAGAAAATTGTAGTGCAGAAACTAAGACCTCCATTTCCAACTCGCTTCATCGCAGTTTTGAGGCTGGGCATCGGATGCTTAGTTTCAGTTGTGCAAAAAGCTGCACGACTGAATGCAAAAAAAGCGGGTAGGTAGAGGGCAAAGAACCCCAAGGGATGGGTGACAGCAGTGTAGCCGGAATTCCTACGTGACATTTAACAAGGAGACCGTGGTCTGTCAAAGATCGCACCATCCCCGAAAAAGTCCAACGACGGGCAACCAAGCTTGTCAGAGGTCATAAAAACCCACCTTACGAAACTAGACTGTTCAGTCTTGACCTCTTTCCCCTGGACTACACACAACAACGTGGCGACTTAATTCAAACGTTTTGAATGTTACGGGGTCAGGATTGCTGTCTAGCATCCGGCAAATTCTTTGGGCTGGCAACCACTACATCCTCTGAAACTACGTGTGACAGGGACGAGACTGGACTCAAGGAGGTTCTTCTTCAGCCACAAAGTGGTAAAGACATGGAATTCCCTGCATGTGGACGTCATCATGTCTTCATCCGTGGGCACATTTAAGAGGAAGCTTGACCAGTACAACGATATGTGCCTCCACGGCATCAGAAAATAACAAATTTCCCTGCTCTACCACCCCCCTAAGTTTAACGTTAGAACACATGCTACGTGTATATTTAAGTAGCATTATTTTATGACTTATAGTTATCTCCCGACCGAAGCATATACGTTTGCTTCGACATTACTTGGTTCATTCAGTACCCGCGTACTGGTTATTGTACAATTTTTACACAGAAGTCATACACATAAAAATGTATACCAGCAACCAATGCTTGTTGTATGTAATTACTCACATAATTTTTTCTAGCACTTGCCTTACACATTGTTTTTTATGACGTTATTGTAACCAAACGGGAGCTCAAAGGCGCTCGCCTACCTTTCCATCAATATATCTGATCTGATCTGCTTCTAATGCGTTGCAGATTGTTCACTTTCAGTGATATTATAAGCCTCACTCCTTCACAATCTTTTTTTTTAACAGAAAACGCGCACCTCGAAGCCCTCACTGTGATACGCCCGACGTCTTTCATTCCTTCAACTTGTGACAGGCCCTGTGCTCCCTACTGTCAATAAGAAGACCGCTTTACTGTTGAATACAGACTAAATATGCAACGATGTCTCCTTTTACTTTTCAAAGGAGAAAATACCCTGGGGGGGGGGACGTTCGAAACTACTAAGTCGGCAGCAAGAACAGCATTCTGAGCCTAAGAAGCCTGGAGAAAGGAAGGCAAGAACAGCTCAGCGAAATTTCGAAAAAAACATATTCCCTTTTCTTTCGCAATTAAAAAGATTGGCAAAACCGAAACACACCCATCCCCCGCATCGCCTGAAATTCATGCTCACCTAATTTCATTGATCAGACGCCTGTTTACGGTTATTGACCTCGGGAATGCACTTTGTCAGTGTGTTCGCCATATTCATTTCCACAGAGTGGATGGTTCCGTCAATGTTTGGACATCTACGCCGAAGAGGATACATCCGAAAGTATGCTTCGTGTCAGCGCACGTCATAAAAGTAAAAAAACGTGATAATTGTGGACAGCAAGATGATATCGACTTGCTTTTTCCGATGCCGCACAACATGTAATTTTAATGACGTACGTTAGGTGTCCGTGCTCATGAACCGCAATGACAGGAACCTAGATGATCATTTCGGGATATACAAATCAGGAGCTTTGCGCGTTTATCTAACCGGTTCCGGAAAATGTCCTTTTTTAAATAGGAAATGTCTATATGAAAGTTCATTAGGCAACATATTCATAAATTTGGGCCGAAATCCGCGTTGTCTTGTACCGACGAGGTTCAGTACTTAAACGATTCAGACTTCAAAGGAAAGACGCAATTTAGAATGGTGCGCGATAATATAGGATGACGGTTGTGAGGGTTGGTTCTGCTGGTACCGGCCTCGTAGGCATTACGAACACAATTCAACAAGGACTTTGGAATATTGATGTGGGATTGTTGCGCTCACGGTTTCAGGGTGGGGGTTGTGGTTATATTTCAACCTAACCAGGAATTCCGAAGAAATAGACTGAGCCGTAGCAAATTGATTGGAACTCTACTATGCCTGAGGAGCCATAAGTTTCATCTTATGGTGAAGTGAAACTGGGTTCAGGGCCCGATATGACGTTAAGTAACGGTCTCTCGTTTGTCAGACAAATATTCGGAGCTTGCATAGGTGAGATTGGAGTTTGCGTGCTGGACATTGGTCTGGACGT